AAGATGCCTCTTGGTGTGGAAACATTCCCTCATGCAAAGGTATATTTGTTGTGGATGCTTTTGGATACACTCAACCCCAAATGACAACCAGGGTAAGATGCTGGTTGCCAGGGGAGTAGAAAGCAATCAAAGCCCTTATGATTTTGGGAAAATTTCCTAGAAATCTTTTGGGGCTGGACCTCCTAAAGGGAAGGTCTTGGACTGCAGGGGCTTTCAGGAAGGAAACCCAGCATTTGCACCTGCTAGATACTGCCCCTGCTCTTCCTCCCTCCCTAGTAACCAACAACAAACTTTACCCCTCACCCTTGGGAGCCAGAGAAGGAATCACCGCAGTTACTGAGAATCTAAACCAAAGAGGAATAGTGATTATAACCCATTCCCCCATAACCCTCCTGTGTACCAGTTGGAGAGTAACTGTGTACCTCTGAGGTCTTAATACAAACACAGGGTCCCTCACTACAGCAGTCCCAAATATAGCCAAACTAATAGCCACCATACAAGAACAAACTCACAAAATTATGGTCATTACTGATGTTAAAGACATTCTTTTTATGGTTCCCCTGTAAGATCAAGATTAGGAGCGTTTTGCTTCTGTATGGGAAGGTCAGCAATATATTTTTACCTGCTCCCACAAGGGTTTAAATACTCACCCACTATAGCACACATCCACTGGTACAAGAACTGTCATTCATTCCCCCCGCACCTGAGGTAAGACTATATCAGTATAACGACGATATTTTGGTAGCAGGAGATGAAATTGCACCTGTACAGATAATCCAAAAGAACATTACTGAACACCTAGAACCCCTGGACTTACAGATCCCTCCTGAGAAAGTACAACACCCTTTGCAAGAGGTAAAGTTTTTGGGGATATGAGGGAGTGGGGGCAGTGGTCTGTATTCCCCAGACACCCTCACCTCCCTAGAAGATGCCTCTCTCTTCTCTGAGAGCGGAGAAGATGTGCAACTGTGGGAGATGGGAACAAAGAAAGATACAGAATATGGAGACAGAACCTGCAAGATTCATGGGAAGAAGAAGCCTTTGTGTGACAAACACTATGGACTGACATTATGGACTGTTGCTTAGCATTCAGTGTTTATTATGTTCTTCCCTATGTGGTACTCTCATGGTTTTATGAAAATTTCCCTAGTTGATTATTCCCTTGTGTTTCTGTTTTCTCATTGGCTGTTTGATGCTGTAGTGCAGATTCTCCTTAAAAGGCTAGTTCCCTCTCATGTTTTCCTTATAGAGATATGTTTCTTCCCTATCTTTCCTTGTATGGTTTCCATTTTGTATATCTCCACTCAGTTCCATCCCTTGTTCCAGAAAGTTCTGCTCTCGCTCTATATAAGGTGGGAGCCATGTTAATAAAGGGCCTTCTTGCCCTTACAACCCCATACCCTGAGGATGTGGAGGGCATGGAATGCGAGGAAGAAAAGTTTATTGAATGGAAGGCGACTGCAAGAAATTATGGCTGAAACAACAGATGAAGATATGATTTGAAGATATATAACACGATACAATTCAAACAGAGACTGTTATTATTTAGAATTGTTAATGCTTGTTCCCTATCTGTTGTATCACAGTTTTTATTGAATTTCATCATATATTCCCCCTCAGAATAATACCCTTTTTTCCTATTGGTTCAAGTTTGCTGCATTGCAGATGTTTCCCTCATTCTCCCCTGCTGATCCCTTGTTCCCTCCTTCCTTCCCTGGTTGGTTGTCACCCTTGTCAGTCCTATGCTCCTCCTGTTTTCCAGAACCTTCCCACCTTACCCTATAAATAGAGCTAACCATCTCCAATAAAGGGAGATAGCCCCAAGCTATACCACTCTGCTTGAACCCATGGGTTGTCAAGTCTTCTTTCCATGTCAACTTCGGCATGAGGAAATGTTTTTCTTTCCTTGTCGAACCATATCATGCAACAGGCTTTGGGCCTGTTGGTCTTTTGGAGGAAGGATGTTCCCAATTTTTCAATAGTTGCAAGGCCCTTGTGCAATCTGCTGTGGAAGGGAGCAGAGTGGGACTGGACCCCCTTCATGATAAGGCCCTATAATTCCTAATTTTTGAGACTAACACACATCAATCACAAGACCCTATACACCCTTCTGATTCCGTGCAAACTGAGTGGGGATTTGCCAGTTCAGAACTGTCCAAACATTTATGGCAGTAAGGACATAGTAGTTCTACCCAACCACTGGATTTTACTCTCAAAGCTTTAAGGATGCAGAAAAACGGTATTCCACTTGGGAAATGGGTTGTAGTCAATCCTGCCCTCTGGGAAGCAGAAAGAACTGTCCATCAACAATCAACAGTTTTAAGGGGACCTTTTAAAGCCATCAAAAAGGTTCTGTGGGGTGGTCCAACAAGCTCCTGTTCAAAAGTAGTATGCCCAAATTAAACAATGTTGTACCATCTTTCAAGTAACAGAAGGAGCTTGCAAAAACATTCCCTTACAACATGAGGTAGCCCTGAACACCACAACTGACTCTTTATGTTCCATTATTTAGTTTGCTCCCCCATATTCAGAATAATTGCAGATGCCCAGCATCAAGGCAGAGTTGCCATGACAGGAAATCTTGGCTGCTCTTTCCCAGACCTCAGAGTCAGTGGTGGGTTGGAGCTGGACACCCAGCGTGAGGTCAGACAACTTACTTTAAGGGCTTCCTAGTTCATTTGGGTTCATTTGGTGAATTCAGTCTTGGGTGGTTTGGCTCTACATTTCTAGTCGCCTCACAAAAAACTTGGCTGTGCTTTTCCTCCTGTTTTTGGGGACAGTGGGCTACTCCCGGCCACTTGCCAAGGTGCTCAGGATATGGTACTGTGTTCCCGATGAGGGACAGTTACTTCTAACGAAACTGTCCCACGTTCTTTCTAAATAGATGGAGCCTGAGACTCCATGGAGCATGTGCAGAAGGAGACCTTCCAGATGGGAGAAAGTGACAGAGTGCCAGTCTCAGGGGAAGAAAGACAGGCAGTGCCAGACACCAGCACAGCAGGTAATTGCTGTCTGGGACTCACCAGTCAGAAACACTGTCGTCCTGAGGCTTCTCCCCAGCACCTGCTCCTGCTCATCCTGTCAGCAGCCAAACCTGGAGGTGTGAGCGCAAAGAACTTGTTGTCCAAGAAACCAGTCACAGCTCTTTGAGGTTGACAGCTGCCTCTAGTATGTGTGGGGAGGGTATGGCTGGTAGCGTGCCAGAAAGATGCTCACAGAGGTCTCTCGACACTATTGGTTTTTTGTGGTTTTTTTCATATAGTTTTGGGTCAGGCAGAAAAGATTTTCTCAACACAACACTATTCCCTTTGAAGTGGCAAACAGTAACCGCTGAGCTGCTCACCCTTGTCCCTCACCTCTCAACAGCCAGCTCCAGCTCCTGCTCTGAACTGTCTCTCATAGGGTCTCTGCTGCCTCTGAGATTTCCACCTCCTGAGGAGGCAGCCCAAATTTCTTATTGAAAGAGAGGTTTGGCTCAGCCCTTTAATCAATTCCTATGAATTCTTGTCATATAGCCATCCCCACTTGCATCCCTGCAGATGCACGTGAATGGAGAACCACGGGAGACAGCCATTGCCATATCATAGATGCCTCAGCTCCTTATGAGGGAGTTAAGATGCCTACATGCCACTACACGAGAAAAACAGGCCTGTATTCAACTGGGTGTAGTGAAATCCACCCCTGGTTTTCTCTTGGTCCTGATCTTGTGTGTGTCTCTCTCCTGCTCCCAGCCCCCATTCCGTCCGGCTCCGTGCCCCTGTTCTTTTTACTGCCTCTCTGCCTTGCTGTCCATCCCAGGGGTTTTCAGCAGTCTCTCTCCTGCCACCAGCTCTCACTTCCTTGCTCTTTCCTGCTCCCTCCTGCTCTTTCTGCCTCTCTTCCCTGCTGCTTCTTCCTCCAACTCTCTCCTCTTCCTTGAGCCGCTTTCCTTCTCGCTGTCCCTTTGTTCTGTTTCCTGTCCCTATTTCTTCTGTCTTCCTGTCTCGGTACCGCTCCCTGTGCCACGTTCAGCCAGGACTCCCGGGCGAACTGTTCCCTGCAGCCGGGACAGCACGCGGAGCTCCTGCAGCGGCAAGAGCTGGAACTCGGGTCCGGGAGAGGCGCCTCGGCCCCGGGGCTGGAGCGGGACAGCTCCGACCCAGCGGCGGCGCTGAGTCGGCGCGGGCAGGGCCCGCGGTGGTGGCGGCAGCTCCGGCCCGGGAAGCGCTGAAGCTCCGAGCGCTCCGGCCCCGCGGCCCCGTCCCTCACGGCCCGGCACGAAATGGCGGCAGCGCGGGGCAGGAGCTGCGGCAAGTGATGTGTCCCTGCCCTGCCACATGCGGGAAGCCGCTTCATCTGGTTTGGGGTGACCTGTCCCAGAGCCGATGACGAACCGGGGAGTTGCAAAAACCCGTGGAGTGGATTCAGGGAGAGTCTGGATTTACACCCAGTTAAGGACGTTCGTCGGTGACTCCCCTCTGGCAGAGCTCATTGAGAGAGTTTTAAATGAGATTGGAACCGGGGAGGGAATAAGCCGGGGAGGGAATAAGGCAGGCTCACTTGGGATAAGTCTGGGGGCAACCCGCCGATATTAAAGGGAGGTAGCAGAGGGAAGAAGTGCTATCTTCAAACGTCATGAACCTGGAGCAAAACTAGTGGGAAAAGCAGGTTTCTCACCGGAATGCTGGGAGACAAAAAGAGTACCAAGGAAAGGCACTTGCACTTGGCTCTTTTATGCAGTCTTCATAGCGAGGCTTACGATAGCAATTTCTGTAAGCAAGACCCAAGTGCCTCGGCACTGCCATGCACAGTGCTGCCTCCCAAAACAGATCCACCCTTCTCCACTTCTGCTCCTTCCACACCAATGCAGAACAAGGAAATTCAACAGTGAGCAGATTCAGGACTTCATGGGCAATGGGAGTTTTTTGGGGAGCCCTAGCAGAGGGAAGGGGCCGGTGGGGACGTGAGGTCACAGAACCCCATTTGATGTGCGATCACAGAGCCCCACTTTGATCTGCTGTTCAGTGCCAGCTCTGGACACCTCTGAGGCAGCAGCAGTGGCAGCAGCAGCAGCAGCATGTTGCAAGCACTGGGGGTCATGGTCCTCACCCGCTGCCTCCCCCTCTTTCTGGTGGCCCTGCAAGCCCAGGATGCCCAGTCTGCTCCAATGCAAGGGCAGGGAGCAGGTAGGCAGGCGGGGGCCAGCACCCACCCTGGGCTGGCGGCAGTGTGGCCAGGGCGAGGACTGGGTGAGCCAGGAAGGCAGCACGGTGCAGGCAGTGGGGCAGACACAGCCCAGAGAGGTGTGGAGGGGCTGCAGCTGCTTCAGGGGTTGTGGGGAGAGAGGGTCCTCATGATCAGGGAGGTGGGGAGTGGCAGTGCAGGGCCAGAAACTTGGCACTCACTTATCCATCACATTGCAATGGTTATCCACCCTCAAGGCTGAGCTCCAGGACTGACCCACAGGCAGGTCGCGTGGGCACATCGTGGCTTTTGCTTCCTTTCAGAGCTGCCAGCTCAAAGTCCCAAGGGCAGCCAGGCACCTCCGCAGCTGTGAGAACACAGACCTGTCTGTGTGCCCTGTCATTCCCTGACCCCCTTACACTTTCTGCCCTTGAAGTGTGATGGTAACTTCTCGTGGGTGTTTGCTTCCAGCTCCTCAACTGAACTTCATATTAATTACAAACTGTTATCTCAAGCAGTGGTGGAGTAGTCAGTCTCTACTGATTGCAAAGAAGAAGCACTCCTTTTCCGTATGTCAGTCATAAGAAATTTATCTTTATACATCAATGTCCATTTTTAAATCTAAAATAGTGAAGGATTCCCAGAAGATACCTGTAGTTCCAAAGGAACTCCTAAGAGCCTTGGAGAAAGCTGCATCTGGTTAGTATATCCCACTCTCTTAACCATAGGACTTGGGATGCTGAACTTTTTGCTTACTCTGGGGATCTGCTGTAGCCTATGCAGCAAGAAGGGATCAGTCAGAACCTCGCTGCAAGGACGCTCCATTTCACACCTTGCGTGGGCTGCTGAGCCACAGAGACAGCACAGCTCCTGCTCCCAGACGGGCCTCCAGCTGAGAGCCAGGGGCAACTGCTGCTGCACTTGTACCATTATTGGCCACAGCTGCTGTGTGCAGATGCTGATATCCCGGTGTTAGGAACAGGACTGTGCTGAGTTTGTGTTTGGCTCATGCACAGCCCAGCATCAAGGCAGAAGTGATGTCCCAGGAAATCTTGGCTGCTCTTTCCAGACCTCAGGGTCAGGGGTGGGTTGGAGCTGGACACCCAGTGTGAGGTCAGACAACTTACTTGAAGGGCTTCCTAGAATGGCTCATTTGGTGAATTCAGTCCTGGGTGGTTTGGTTCTACATTTCTAGTTGCCTCACAAAAAACTTGGCTGTGCTTTTCCTCCTGTTTTTGGGGACAGTGGGCTCGTCCCTGCCACTTGCCAAGTGCCAAGGACATGGTACCATGTTCCTGATGAGTTACTTCTAATGAAACTGTCCCATGTTCTTTCTAAAGAGATGGAGCCTGAGACTGTGCAAAAGGAGACCTTCCAGATGGGAGGAAGTGACAGAGTGCCATTCTCAGGGGAAGAAATACAGGCAATGCCAGACACCAGCACATCAGGTAATTGCTGTCCGGGGCTCACCAGTCAGAATCACTATCGTCCTGAGGCATTTTCCCAGCACCTGCTCCTGCTCATTCTGTCAGCAGCCAAACCTGGAGGTGTGAGTGCTGAGAAGCTTTTGTCCAAAGAAACCTGGCACAACTGTTTGACAGCTGCCTCCAGTGTGTTTGGGGAGCATGCTGCCATCAGCGTGCCAGACAGTCGCTCACAGATGCCTCTGGATGCCGTGGGTTTTTTGCAGTTTTTCTTATACTCTTGGCTGAGTCGGAAAAGATGGTCCTAACGCAGGGCCAGAAAATTGGCACTCACTTATCCGTCACACGGCAATGGTTATCCAGCCTCGTGGCTGAGCTCCAGGACTGACCCACAGGCAGGTCACGTGGGCACATCGTGGCTTTTGCTTCCTTTCAGAGCTGCCAGCTCAAAGTCCCAAGGGCAGCCAGGCACCTCCGCAGCTGTGAGAACACAGACCTGTCTGTGTGCTCTGTCATTCCCTGACCCCCTTACACATTCCTCTCTTGAGGTGTGATGGTGACTTCTTGTGGGTGTTTGCTTGTAGATGTGGCCAAAAGAAGGCCTCTTCCAGCTCCTGAGCCAGATTCCATGTTGATTCCAAGCTGGTATCTCAAGAGTGAGTAGTCAGTCTTTACCGACTGCACAGAAGAAAGACCCCTTTTTAGCATGTTGTTCATGGGAAATGTATCTTCATACTATATCCTTGATAAATCTAAATAGGGAAGAATTCCCACGAGTTCCCTGAAGAATTCTCTGAAGCACACCCCGAAATTCCAGAGGAGGTCCAGACAGACTTGGAAGAAGCTCCATCTGGTCAGCAATATAACCCACTGTGTCAACTGTAGGACCACGCAAGCTGAGTTTCTTGGTTCTTGTAGGGATGTGCTGTACCCTACAGAGCAGGAAGTGATCAGTCATAGCCTCGCTGCAAGGACACTCCATTTCACACCTTGCGTGGGCTGCTGAGCCACAGAGACAGTCCAGCACAGCTCCTGCTCCCAGACGGGCCTCCAGCTGAGAGCCAGGGGCAACTGCTGCTGCACTTGTACCATTATTGGCCAGAGCTGCTGTGTGCAGATGCTGATATCCAGGTGTTAGGAATAGGACTGTGCTGAGTTTGTGTTTGGCTCATGCACAGCCCAGCATCAAGGCAGAAATGGGCAGTGGGCTCCTCCCTGCCACTTGCCAGGCTGCCCAGGACATGGTACAATGTTCCTGATGAGTTACAGTTACTTCTAATGAAACTGTCCCATGTTCTTTCTAAAGAGATGGACCCTGAGACTGTGCAGAAGGAGACCTTCCAGATGGGAGAAAGACAGAGTGCCAGTCTCAGGGGAAGAAGGAGAGGCAATACAGGGCACCAGGACACCTGCTCAGCTTCAGAGATGTCCTAGAGGCCAGTGCTCAGGAGATGCTGGTGTGCAAAAAGAGGAGTATTTTAGTGTATCCCTGCAGTGCTCTCCATGGATGAACTGCAGGTCCCCAGCACACAGGCCTGGCCTGCAGCCTGAAGGAACAGACTGGGCAGTGCTGGTGCAGCTGCTCACTGGCACACAGGCTTTTCTCTAGGAGAACCTTAAGGGTTCCTTCTTGTCCCCTGGTCCTAAGACACCAGAGCCAGAGGCACCAGTCCCTTGAGCATCCTTAAGCACCTGAATCTGAGACCACCCATAGCGCAGAGCACATACATTGTCTCTTGCATTGTCCTTTCTCCTGCCAGGGTCAGCTACTTTGGAAAAAGTTGAGACTGCTGGTCACTGGGAGCCAGGCAAGAACTATATCCTTGGAACTGCAGCAGCCTTCAGTGTGCTCCTGCTTGGGATAGCGCTCTGTTGTATAGTCATGTCACGGCTAAGGAGGAAAGACACGTGAGTTGGCTTTTCACAAGAGTTATTTATTGCTACCATTGGCAATGGAGTGTTTGCACAGTGCTGGAGTGCCAAGGCAGCTCCTGGGAGCACTCTGACAAAATCTCCATGGTATGGTCCTTTAACTGGGCTCTTAATTCATATCCATGAGTAGACTCCTCTGAAATCTCTTGTACAGAAGGACCCAGGGAGACAGAGCAGCACAGGGACAAGCCCATAGAGATTCTTTCTGGGAAGAGTCTTTATCTCAATCTCTATCTCCATCTAGAGATAAAAGCAAAGCAGAGTCAGGAGAAGGAGCAGGAAGAGGCGAGGGAGACCAAGCAAACACCAAGTTCAACAACAGCTGCCGCCTGTCACCAGGGATCTTTGCGGCAGAGCTCGCCCAGCTATACAGGAACATGGGCACAGACCCCGCACCTCTGCCTGCTTGTCCCAGCTGCTCTCTGGCTGATGGGGCCTCATCACGGGAGAACTGGGTTTCCCTGGACTCACTCCAGCCCACACCGTCCTGGTGTCCCTGCTACCAGTACCAGCAGGGGTACTTTACTTCAGAAGATGATGACTCTTTAATGGATAATAAATAAATAAATAAATATATTGTTAAGACCAGCAAATTCTCACCTGTTTTGGCTGTTTGTGTTGGGATAGAATGCACAGAGCTGGAAGCAGGACTGGATCTGTATGAGGAGCTGGGAGAGACCTGCACTCCAGGGCAGAACACTTTTGTCCCAGCATCAGCCTGGTTTCCCAGCTGGAGTTTCATCCGCTAGAATGGGCATATGCTGGTGAGACGTGAGGTGCAAAGGCTTGTCCATGAGCTCATTTGGATGCTGCCTGGAGGACTGCACCCTCTGGAAGAGTGATCCATGTGGCAGCAGCTTGTGGAGAATCATTGCCCATGGAATGAAGTCACATTGGAGATCGTGGAGAACTGTCTCCCATGGGAGGGACTGTCATGGCCCAGTGGGAAATAAGGGTTCGACCACTTTGGAGTTAGAGGGTGAAATGGTCATTTATTGAAAGGTGCACCAGCTTATAAAGGGTATAGGTGGAAGGTACTGGAAAGGAAGTTGGGATTAGGTTGGAGCATGCAAATGGGAGACATATAAGGAAGATAGGGGTTGGTCATAACCATAAATGGGGATTGTTGACCATAAAAGGGATAACCATATAAGGGAGTGCTGCAATGCAGCACTTAAAAACCAATCAGGAGAAAGGGAAGAAAAGGGAATACACAACCATGTGGATTTTTCTAAAAACCATAAAAATGGGGTAAAACCGGGGTAAAAATACTTTGTATTTTAAACATAAACTCAAACACAGAGTTTCAGCAGTCCAGATAGTCACCATATTTACCAAAGTTGGTAAATATGTTGTTCTTAAGTGTGCTGCAGATTTCCTCACAGGTGTCTATCTCTTTCTTTCACATTTCATAATTGTTTCTCTCCTGGTCCCCAACATTTCCCCGTCTTTTGTTTTTTGCTAAGTAGACCTGTGAAAAACTCTTCAACAAAAGTTTACAAACGCAAAAAATTATGCAGGGTATGAATGTTACAATAGAAATGAAAGTAAAGAGGGAAACAACAAGTACAACTATGATTTTATTTGCCCAATTAGGGATGCTGGGAAAATGAAACCAATCAAAGATGCTATTAAGGCCTTTATCTTGGGATATAGATACATCTTTCACTAACTTCTTCAGGGTGTCTCTGCTTTTATGTACAGACTGCACATGGTCACTAAAATTCATGCATCATAGACCCTTGAAAGTCTATAGCCGCACAATTTTGCAGGCCTACTTCCTTCAGTTTTTGGGTGTCTGCCAGTAGCCCCTCTGCCACGGTCCGGGGGGATAGGGAAATGGGACCACGGCACTGCAATGAGGGTCAGGACACAGTTGAGGGTTCGGGAAGCAATGCCAACTTTATTAAGGCAAACAGGGACTTATGACGATTCGAGGAATGAGTCCGATGCCGATGATCAGGAAGAGGTGAGACAGATGTATGGGTGTTCTTTTTCTTTAGCCTTGGAAGATCTTAATCCGGTGGGCAGGGACCCACTTCAGTCCTTCTGAACCTGAAATACAGGCATAGCCCTTCCCCCAAGTGACCAAGGGGAAAGGGCCCGTCCATCTTTCCGTTAGTGGGTCCCGGTACATAATTTTAGCTTTAGGTTGTGACAGCGATGAAGAATCTGTTCTGAAGTGACGATCTACAGGACTTTTGTTTAGGTGAGTTTCTGATTCCTCCATCATATTTAAGAAATTTAAAACATACATTACCTTTTCCAATCTTTCTTGGGGGGACAGGCCAATACTCCCCCTCTTTTGTTTTTTGAGTAAATTTTTAACATTTTGGTGGGCACGCTCCACTATACCCTGCCCTGTGGGATTGTGAGGGATTCCAGTGGCATGTTGTACTCCCCATTGTTCAAAAAACTTTTTCGTGTCTGCAGACACATAGGAGGGCCCGTTATCTGTTTTTACCTGTTTAGGGACACCCATCCTTGCGAATGCAGACCGGAAACGTTTCTTGACATGGCTACTTCTTTCTCCAGGATGTGCGGTGGCCACAATCATTTTTGAAAATGTGTCAATAGACACGTGAATGTATTTTAGTTTGCCAAATTCAGTCACATGGGTGACATCTGATTGCCAAATCTCCAGTGGTGATAGACCTCTCGGGTTAGTTCCCTCAGGAACGACTGGTGAGAGTATTTGGCAATCAGAGCACGTTTTCAAAATTTCTTTAGCTTGAGATAATTTCAGGCCGAATTGCTTTTGTAGCGACCGCGCATTCTGGTGGAAAAACTCATGTGAAAGTTTCGCCTGTTGATACAAGTTAGGGGTGACAGCCATACCTGCTAGATGGTCGG